GACTAAAATCTGGAAAAGAGAAAAATAATTACCATTTTAAAATCAAAAAACAGATACATTGGTACTATCAGATCATATCCCTAAAATTTAACTTGCCACAAACACCTGTTATACACATATTCATTAGATAGTAGCAATTCTTTTAGCTGATCACCCTATATACATATAAGAAAAACGAATCAATTTGAAACTTTCTACATTTTTTATGCATGTAGTATGCATGCAGTAATTATACCCATAAAAAAGATCAAATAACACTTGCAGAAATGGTTCAGGTTGTTAATTATACTGTGTGTATTGATGGTCATTGCATGACCAAAATTTTGATATGAATATATTTATTGTGATTTCTCAAGTAAATATGCTTGCAAATACATTATCAATCATTAATGTAAGGGTTTCTGCTATTATATTTGTTATTTATATATTATATTCAAAAAAGGGGTACATTAAATGTACCTACTCCCATTTAAAAAAATATAATGCAGGCATAAAGGAGAAAAAAGAAAATGTGGATAAGTACTTTAAAGCATTAACAGGTAATACTAAAATGTGGAAATGATCTGTAAATCTACTTAGGTTCCATTATATTTTTGTGGCTTGCTACTTCCTTGTAACCTAGAACACATCAATATGAAATTCAGTGTAAATTTAGACCACTGTCTATTTTTGGATTTAGAAGTATATACAAAACCTTAATATCCATGAACATATTGTTGCGTCTCAGGAAAATTAAAAATTCGTAAATTACTGGATGTATATTTCGTTTTTTGTAAAAAGGGCCAATTTTTAACTGTAAATAATGGTAATGTTTTAATAATTTCCAGTATAAATGGAATAACACTATAAAGTAACAACATTTGTAGTACCTACAGCTGTTATTCTTTGAACAAATGAAGAGCAATGAAAACAAAATAATTGAATGTATGTAAACAAACAAACAGGCTATGTTCTACTATCTTTCAACCCCTTATCAGAATTACCTGGTGCCAACTAGTTAATGCAACAACTGGCCAGTGAAACATTTTTAATGATAACTAAAGTACTGTCTGCATTCAAATAATTTTAATTAACTATAGGTAAGTATCTTTAATAAAACATTATTGTGGGTGACGCTTAACGCTGACACGACACATTTAATTTACCTACCTAACAGGCAGCAATTCATGAAAGCATCCACAAAAACATGAAAGAAATGAAGCACCCGCGAAAATTATAAATTCCGTTATAATAAATAAATTAAACACAAAATGAAATAAAAAAAGTAAACTAAACGAAAGTTCTCTCGCGCTAAATACTCTCACTATTCACACTGCCATGACTGTAACATAATAACGTGTGGGTTTGGCCAAAAGCTAGGCCCCTCATTTTTACGCGTGCGTAGTAAATAATAACGCTTTAAAAACTTAAAGCCTGTTAAAAGTAGATTTTTAAATAAATATTTCCTTTTTTAAAAAAATATGGCTACTTTGTATCAACAAAAGTTTTAAAAAACATATTTTCAATTTATAGGTTAGGTTTGATGTTTCTTTTGTTTCTTTTACATATTCAGGAACATTAACAATATACTTTACTTTACCTTTAATTTTTCTTTTTGGAATTAAGCCTGAGTTATTATTTCACTTTTTCTATATAAAAAAGCACAAATTACATCCCCACACATTAATTATTTACATTACTTCTAATAAGAAAGTACCTACATAATTTAAACTAACAATAAAACAGCATACTGTATGTAGGAATGTACAGTCCCAGGCAAAAATTCTTGAGAGTATGGTTTGAAGTAAATACTTGAATAAGTAATATGTATATGAAAAACCGAACTATACTTTAAAAATTTTTCTAATACAAGGCAATTAATATTTACTGTAGGGAAGAATACCCACCCTTTTTATTATTCGTCCAGCACCACACACTATTGTACGCTTTTATATATATGGCACGTGCCACAAAATTAGGGGTGAATACCACTGTTGCCAAAACGTCTTTTAAAGATGGTATTAGTGAAATTTAACGAATAAGTTCAGCCTTATCAGTTATAAGTAAACTTATTCTGAGATATTATATCTTAATGTTCTTCATAAATGTAATAAAACTGTAAAAAAATTAAAAAAAGAATTAAGAAATGTACGCTTTACCGTAAGAGTCGTATTTTTTTTATTAAGAAAAGGGTTGTTTGTACATAATAATTCCACCCAAATTTGTAAGTTATGAAGTAAAAAAGAAATAGTTTTTATTTACCAAAAATTAAATGTTTGAATGGCAATGCTGCTCAAAATATAGTATATGGCATAATAAGCCAAAATTAAAGTTTTTAATTCAATTACGTATTGTTTACGAAAACTAACGCTGTCTACGTAAATACTCTTCTTTTTTTAAAAACATAAAAGTATTATTATTATTTATTTATGTAGCGCCTAAAATATATTTAATATCTTTACATACAAATAGGTAACTAAAATGGTCACATCGCGATTTCTGTGTGCAGTACACATGTGTATGATGGGTTGTACAAATGTAACATGTCTCAACAGATTATATTTTATTTATTATAACTAGTAACCGTTTGGCAAATTGACTTTTTACAATAAAAAAACATTTTGTATTTGATTAGAGCCCATTTGTAGACCAGGATAAGATAATGTACAGTAGGGTGTGTCAAAAAAGTGTAACTTTCGATATTTTTAATGTTTAATTTTACTTCAAAATAAAATGCCTCTAGCATTTAAATATTTTATATCTAGGAAATGATAGAGTTCAGAAAAACTAGTATTCAGTAGTTTTGTGGAATTGTCGACTTCATAAAGTTAACCCCCCTAAAAAATTTTCTATAGAAATTAATTCCTTGAAAAACGACCTGTGGCAGAATTTACTAATATTGAACTATTTGAATAAGACAATAATTTTTAACAATGTTGTCCCTAAAGTAAGGGCTGGCTACATCTCCAGGGATAACATTTTCTTTAATATGACTCAATTATTTATTTATTCTGAGTCCTTTTTTTTCGACACACTCTAATGTACAGAGCGTAAGTGTCGCAGTGCTTCTTAAGATTGTTACAAGGCGCTTGCGTACTATTGCTTACCTAAGTTAGAAGGAAGGGAAGCCTCACCTGTGACTTTATCCCTAATTAACTTGCAACTTTCAACTTCTCCTATACTAGAGAACAGAGATCTAATTTCTTCTTGCGTCATTGTCTGAGGTAAATAATTAACAATGAGATTTGTTTTTGACTCCTCCTGACCGCCGCCCTGTCCACCACTGCCGCCATTTTGTTGGCCCACTACTCCAGCATCCAAGCCGTTTGACATCATATTTATTGGTCCTATGTTACCTTTCTTAAAGAAGTTTTAATAAATTAAAATTGAGAAAACGATGTTGGACGAAAACTGACTAGAATTTCTTCAGATATTCAGAGTAATGCGACTAAAATCTGGAAAAGAGAAAAATAATTACCATTTTAAAATCAAAAAACAGATACATTGGTACTATCAGATCATATCCCTAAAATTTAACTTGCCACAAACACCTGTTATACACATATTCATTAGATAGTAGCAATTCTTTTAGCTGATCACCCTATATACATATAAGAAAAACGAATCAATTTGAAACTTTCTACATTTTTTATGCATGTAGTATGCATGCAGT